TTGGGCCTGGTTCTAGTCTTTCCAGCTTCCTAGGCTTTCCCAGCCCTTCCCTCTGGTCTTGGGTCTGGCAGCCTGACTAGAACACTAAAAAATGCAGGTTTCCAGGCTCTGCTCCCTGGCTCTGAATCAAATTTGCATTTTAACAGCCATGCACCCTGTCCTTCATCCTGATTCTGGAAGCAGGAATCTTAAACCTCCTTCAGGTTTGTCAGCTTTCAAAACAGCCCTGTAGACCCTCCATAAAACATTCCACCACCTGCACCCTCCTTCCCATCCCCCCTTCAATTTTATAAGGTGCGGTGTGGTCTGGAACTCCACTATCTGTTTGCTGACCTGTGAGGTTACAGCTCTTTTGTGAATCCCACCTCTGTGAGGATGGGCGGTGGGCATTCTGTCCTGTGCCCCTACATCATGTGTCTGACGATGCTCAGCACCTGCGTGAAGGCCAGAGAAGTGGTTGTTGGAAGAATTGTGCATGCTGTGCCAATCCTCAGAGCTCCTTGAGTTCTGCTATTTAGGGAAGTGAAGTGAGGTGCAGAGAGGGCCTCCTCTGTGCTCAGCTGGATGTAAATGGGGCTTTGACCTCCACTTTAACGAAGGTTGGAGGTCAGAGAAAGTTAATTACCTTGGGCAAGCTATTTGACCTCTGAAAATCTTACCTCTGTTTCCTATATTCCACTCCTAGGCTCAGCATCAGGAGTAAAAGTGCCTCATAGGATTACCATGGGGATAAAGTGAATGCATGCACATAAAGTTGCATGGATCAGTTTAAATTTAGTTAATTAGGCTGGCACTGTAGCTTGTGTTTAGCGGTAACATGCTCACCTGGCATCTGAGATTCTAGGTTCAATCTAGGTACCGCCTTCCCCAATCCCTCGTAGTTTCAGAGGGTAGAGGCCTGGGGAGGGCTTAGTTGGTCCCTCTGGCCAGAGTCATGTGAAGTTAACCAGAGTGTTGGTTGGGGTTCTAGTCACTACTCAAGGCTTGATGGGGCTATAAGGTGTTCTTTCAGGCTCACTCACGAAGCTGCCAAGAGGCCTCTTTTCTGCTCTGTGGCTTCTCACATGCTGGCTGGGAATAAGAGATGGGAACCTTTTAGAGAAAGGGATTGTTGTAGTCTTCTTGTAATTGATCCCATGTTAGCTTCCGCACTTTTCTGTGGATACCCAGGCCTAATCCAGGAGCGCGCTTTCCTGAACCAGGGCCACAAGAATGGACGATTGTCCTAAGGGTTTAAGCAGACAAAGACACAAGAGACCTGCTCACTTACCAGAGAGTAAAAAAGCCGCTGTTTATTAACTCAGGTCGGGTATATATACCAGGAGGCAAGAGGGTTCAAAAGGGCATGGCCCCCTCCCATTAGGAGCAGTAGAATAGATTGATACATTCCCAGAGCCTCAGGCAGGATCAGCTATGGGGGAGGCAGGCGTGGGAGGCGTGTAGGGCCCGCAGCTGCAACCTTGTTTACAGGTTAAATTACCATAACAAAACAGCCAAATTCTTTCTAAGCTACCCTCAAGCCAGTGCTCGTGCAGAATCTCCTGGGGCCAGAGGTCAAACAGCCCTGCGAAATGCCAAGGAAGAAAAGGGAAAAAGACTTGGGTACCTACAATCCCATAAGTGACACGTGACACTTCTGTCACTAGAGGGAGTGAAGAAGTCCAGTTGACCCCCAGGAAGCAAATATTGCAGTTGTTAACAGGGTGAGACATTTATGAACCACTTGAATTATCACTTGACAACCAGAGAGCGACAAGTGAAAAAGGGGGAGAGCTGTTGTCACTGTCATTACTGAGTGTCTGAGAGCAGGAGCCAAGGTTGCTGTCACTGCTCAGCTAAGGGTGTGAGAACTGGTCAGAACAGGAGCTGAGATTCGAACCCCAGTGCCACTGGTAGTCAAGTGTCAGGTATTAATATATTATAATCATAGTATGGATTAGGTAGTGAGCAGAATATGCATTCTAAATGGCTTCTCTGACTACAAGTTAAGGCCTTCCTTATGATGAACACGTTAGCTCAGGGAGTAGCTAGTGGTGTTCAGTGTCGGTGTGTGCCCTCACACATCCACGAACACAAGTAAACAATTAAATGTAATAAAAAATATATTATTCAGTTTTTTAAATTTTTTGTTAATTAGTTGTCCAAACTATGAGAATTGTTTTCCTGGGCTAGTGATATGTGAAGTTTAAGAGAAGAAAGAAAAAGCAGAAAAGGCACCTTTTAAATGAGCCAGGTTTCTGTGACTGTCACAAAAACCCGAGGCAGTCAGCAAAGAAGAGAAAAAGGTGTTTGGTCTCACAGTTCTGTTACGCTTTAGTCCGTGATTTATTGACTGTTTTTGAATCTGTAGTGAGGAAGCATTTCCTGGTGGGGCAAAGTCGGTCACTGTAAGGCCAGAAGAGGAAGTGGACAGATGGGGCTGCCAGGTCCCACTGTTTCCTTCAAGGGCACTCAGCTAGTGATGAAGACCTTCTGCTAGGCCAATGGGTCTCATCTGTGGATCTCTACCCCTTGGGGGTTGGTTGAACCTTTCATAGGGGTTACATAGCATATATTTACATTATAATTCATAACTGTAGTAAAATTACAGTTATGAAGTAGTGGTTAAACAATTTTGGGGTTGGGGACACCACACATGAGGAACTATAGTAAAGGGTTCCAATGTTAGGATGGTTAAGAACCACTGCCCTAGATGCTAATTTCCACTACCTCTCAATAGAGCCAGATCTGTGGAGGACATCAGTGACAAGAACTCCTTTGATTGCTACCATCCCCGAGTCCCAAATACTTACCTGGCTTCTTTTACTGGCACAGCCTATCTGACTGCTGTGGTCATTGAAGTCTCTATCTCTCTTCAGAGACACACTATGAGCTGGTGTGTGGTTCCAGTACTCAGGAGACAAAGGCTCAGGGCTCACCTCACGTTCAAGGCTAGTTACAATAATGAAGACGGCCTCATCATACACTGTGTTCCTAGTGGGTATCTGGGTGTGATGACGTCTGTCCTGTAGCTATGTAAGGTGTACCCGCTAGGAAAAATTGGGTCAAGGCTGTGCAGGGCCTCTTGCTCTCTTCTAACTTTCTGCAAATCTTCAGCTATTTCAAAATAAAAATTTAAAACAATAACTCAGTTTGGTTGTTCCTAGGGATCAGTGGCCAGTGACCCCCTGGCCAGCACACCAGGCCTTTATCCTTTAAAAAAAAAAAAGTATGAACACATTCTCACTTGAGATTTTTCAGGCCCCAGAGGTGTGAAAGTGTTAATTTCTCACCAGGGCAAAGCCAGCTGGTTAAACTGGCAGCTGCCAAAGATAGCCATCTAGTAAGCTGATATGTTCACCATGGCAATTCCTAAGCACCTGGTGCTTCTTGGGTTTGACCCTTATATTCTCTGTCCCCAAAGGGAAGTGCTGTCTTTATAGACTGTGTTGTAGTGTGGGCACTGGAAACACACAGCTAAGTATGTGTGTAGCATTACACTAAGGAACCTGTTCCTGTCAATAGTCTGAGCGCTTGCCGTGGTGCAGCTGAAGGAAACAGCTTGGTTGCAGAAAGTGTTCACTGTGGCCCTGCACCATACGCTGGTCTCTGTAGGAGTGTGCGTGGTTTGGAGTGGTTAGCTGTGCATGCTGTAGGGCATGGCAGTGCACACCAGGTTTGCCGTTTTCCCTGGAGTGGGGAGAGCTGGAGAAAATGACAAGGAACATGATTTCCTTCTAGCCAGAAATGTTAAGGGAACATGACTGGTTATTTCTTCCATAAAGCTTTCTCGTTTGCACATGCCCCGTGTGATAGGAGAGAGGGTAGTATTGATGGGCTTTCTCTCCAGGTGCTGTGTTTTCAGCTAAGTGTTCCTTCTTAAATGTGTTCTAACTGTTGGAATATTTTGCAGTGAGTCTTTATTTGTATAGTCATAGAAGAAATCTGGTTTGAGCCCTTTTTATTGTGAAGACAGAACATTTCAGTGTGTTTAACAATACACTGGAGACCTGGGGTGGGAAGTGAAAGGGGAGAAATAGAATGTGGGCAAGGAGCCTCTTGTGGTGTAGTTGGTAAGAGACTAAATCTTGGTCTCTAGAAGGACACAGGAAAATCTGTCTTGGAGACAGAGAGATCTGGGGGTTACTGGCGACCTTGGCCATATGATCTTGTTGTTCAGAGACATTATCTGTCAAAACTCCTCTCTTATCAAACTGGGAGACTGCGGCAAGTCCAGGTCCATTGTGAGTTTTCCACAAATAATGGGTGGAAGAAAGTGCGTGTATGTGGTTCAGTGAGCTTATATGGGTCCAAACTATGTGATCTATGTGATAGATAAAATGGATGAATGCATGCATGTGTGATTTGGTGAGCTGACGTGTTCAAGGGCCAAGCTATATATGGTTGATGGTAATGAAATGTCAGTTTCTTTTTCTGGAGCCTCATGTCACATGACCAGCCAGTGTACCTGAGGAATGGATTTGGGAAGTAGGGTGTGGTTGTAGCCCAGTGTGTGTCTGTGTTCCATTGTAAGATGTATGATCTTATGTGGGGTTGGGGATGGATTTGGTCATGATTTTCCTCCTGGTGTCCCAGTTGCCCCATCTACAAAGTAGGAGTTGTGCTAGTTCCTGGGATCATATATAAACATTTAGCATTAGGCAAGTCATACAATACACAGTAGCTGGTGCAGGTGAACTGTGTGTAGAGTGTGCCTGTCATTGGAGAAAACACTATCAAGGGCCTGACCCAGAATGGCACCTGGCAGGTTGGTGGGTTCACATAGCATATGCTTGCATTCCAAGTCTGTAGGCACAGGGACCAGTTGGCCTTCACCAACATTCCTAAAAGAAAGTCCCAGAAGTATGCCCAGTCATTTTCAGTGCTGTGGTACAGGACAGCACATTAGCACTGATAAGACACAACTGTGTCTTTTCCTCACACAGATCCCTCCCCTGCTTAGGGTGGAAAGTGTCAGTTTTTAAATTTGTTTTTTTTTTTAAACATTTTTATACCTGCAGAGAAAACGAGGTGCTCAAAGTCCAGCTGAAGAAATATGTAGGAGCTGTCCAGATGCTGAAAAGAGAAGGTCAAACAGCTGAAGGTGAGGTGGAGCTGAGCATGGGGGAGGGAATGACTGTTTGATGGGCAGGCTCCAGGAGCGGATGAACACATACTCCACTGAGGTAGAAAAGTGGTGTTGGTGGGGTTCCAGAAAACAGAGTTAGACAGAAAATCCTGCTGGTATTTTTGCTAAATTAAAACTAAGGCTCACTAGACTTAGCAACAGTTTTATGATTTGGGCACTTTTATGGACTTTAGGTTGATTATTGTGAGCCTTATGGAATGGCTGATTCACATGAGACCAGGGATGTAAGCAGAAGAGAGTAGGCAGGGTGAAGAATCAGACCTTCCGGGACTTAGAGTTGTCGGGCTGTGATCCGACCTCAGCTTTCTCATATGTAAAATGGGGTAGTTGGCAGTACCTGCTTTGCGAGGCACTAGGTATACCAGCACAAGGATTGGCACAGGACAGGTACTGGGTAACGTAAATGGTGCAGCTCAGATGGAAGCGCATCCTGGTAGTTGGAAGCCAAGGAATACCACAAAGTCACAACACACAACAAACATCACACATGAGATTTATTGGGAGGGAAAAAACCAGGAGGGTGGCTACCTCTGTTCGGGTGAGAAACAGCAGAGACCCGAGCAGAACATAGGGTTTATATTGGGTTTCTTGCAGGGAAGGGGGAGTTTCCAGATGACCTGGGATTGGAGGAATTATGTGGCCTTATTTTGGCAAACTCGGGGATTGGGGGAATTTTTTTTTGTAGGGTGGGTCCCAGCTACTCTTCTATTATAGGATTGGGAATGACCCTTAAAGCCATTAGGGTCATTAAGGAAGTCTGGGAGCAGGGCCTGGATGGAAACTTGCCTTTGAGAATTTACAAAGTTTGCACAAGGAGTATCTGCCCATGGCAGGGACACGCTTCCCTGCCACTTGAGTTGATGTGAATGGCCAATAGGTAATGCTTGGCTGTTGGTATTACTTAATATTTTAACTTTGATAGTTTTATGCATATGTGCAATATGTTGGGATCGTATTCACTCTTGCTCCCCTCTCTTACCCTCTCACTCCTGAAAATCCCTGTCTTTCCAGCTAGTATCCTCCTATGTTTATGGACCTACAGCATTTGCATATGGAGGCCAGAGGCCAACCTCTATGGTGTTTATTATTAGAGTCATGGTATCTCACTGAACCTGGAACTCACCGGTTAACTAGACTAGATGGTTAATGGACTCCAGGGACCCATTTGTCTCCTCCTCCCCAGCGTCGGGGTTACAAGAATATATCATGGTGTCAGGTTTTTTTGGACACGGCTGCTGGGGATACGTGCATGGCAAGCACTTTTCTAGCTGCACCATTGCCCCAGGCCCTGGGCTTGCTTTTAGAAAGCACAGCACTCTGAGATGCATTTCTGAGCCAGGAGTTTTGGAGCACTTCTCCCCAAATGCACAAGCAGAACCTGTGGTGTACAGATTGCAGTAGAAGTTCCATTTCTCACACGGCAGCCTGAGTGCTCTGAAGCAGAGCTGGTGTAAGCCTTTTCAGCATGCACTTGTGATCACCCTTGCTGACTTGCAGTGAGATGGCAGCCGCTTTCCAGGCTCTCCTACGCCGTGTGCCTGGGCGTCCTCTCACATTGCAGGTGTTCAGGGCTGAGCTCAGTAGTGGGCACACATCAGCTGCCCTGCTGCTGCTTATGACATCCTGCGGTTCTCTCCTTTTAGCCACAATTATCACAGTGTGCCAGCACCATGAAGACAGCCTTACACTCAAAACTAGGGCCACAGGTTTGTTAGTTCAAAGCTAACCTGAGCTGCATAGCAAGACACTGTTTCCAGCCTCCAGTCTTTTCACTGATTTTGGCATTGCAAATTACACACGTGTAGGTACATAACAGATACTCACGTGGTGCTCCATAAGCGTGTGTGTTGATGTGTTCCTTTTAAAAGGTGGTTGTAAAAGGCAGTGCTTTCTTCCCAAGCTCTGATCCTCCTCCTGAGAGGCCGGAACTTCCTGCTTTATCCCTACTCTCCACCTCTTCACTGCCTGGCCCCGGTGCCTGCAGGCTCTTGGAACCTGGAGGAAGGCTGCTTTGCCATCGGATTCATGATGGCCCTTGGCGTCTGATATCAGGGATGGACACAGCAATGTCTGAATTCCTGAGTTATAGGAGAGAACTGAGAACACATTTTCATAGTGTAAGCATAAAGTATCTTTTAATCTTTGTCAACAGTGACTTAGACAGCTGTGAACTCATTAGAGGGAAGAGACTGGGAATCTTTTTAGCTCCCCGAGCTTTGCAGTTGGCAGTACTCCTCAGGGCTCTCCTGGGACTTTCACCTTTGTCCTTATGTTCTTGTTATGGACACATTCCTCCAGGTTTTAAAAATAAACAACTTAAAATTAACTTTTAAAATATAATGTCAACAACCTTCAAATTTACAGGTACAAATCAAAGTTTCCACTCTTCTGTTTCTGTGAAGAAGGAACGTGGAGTAGAATTTGGGGTGACCTCCTCACTTGTTAGGAAGGCTTTGGTGGCTGTTGTGGACAGAGGTCTGTGAGAGCTTGTCCCTGCCTTTGCTTTGGCTCTTGCTCTGGGTGTCACCTTTGACTTCATCCTGCATTGTTACAGCGGTGGTAGAAGTGCCACCATACACCCTAGGAACCAGCTTGACAATTAGGCATTCATGGGCATAATGCCAACTCTGTGGTTAAGGGGGTCCTGCCTACTCTGCAGGGAACCAGTGTCAAACAGTTTCATGTATGACTAGGAAGCAGGCGTTGACTCCCATGCTTTTGATTTCCCCTCTGGCATATAGCTCAAGTCCTGAGTCAAGATGGATGTACAGCCCGGGAGCTGGGGCGATGCTCTGTGAGGAAGTGCCTCGTAAACTTGAGGATCTGAGCTCAGTGCCTAGACCCTGACTTACAGAGCTGGTTGTGGTGGCATACACTTGAAATCCAGCCATGGTGAGATGCAAGGCAGAGACAAGGGGATTTCTCAGTCTTACTAGCCATCCAGACTAGCTAACTTGGTAATCTCTAGGGCGGTGAGATGGTTTTAACCTGAGAATACCTAGAGAAGTTCTTAGGTCAAATATCGATAGTTAAACCCTCAGCCAGGGTCTTCCCTGGTGCTGTTGCCATTCTGTACATGCAAAGAACCAACACCCCAAAGGTGGATGCGTGCCGGGTCTCTCTCTCTCTCTCTCTCTCTCTCTCTCTCACACACACACACACACACACACACCCACCAGGGTTCGACAGTGATACAGACTGACTGTGTGTGCGTATGCAGGGATTATTTTAGGAAACTGGCTCATCCTTCAGCCCCACCATCTGTAATGTGTCCTGCGGACTAGACACCGGGGAAGAGCTGATGTCACAGCTTGACTCCGAATCCTCTGATATATCTTTTCCATAGGCCTTCTCTTTTCTTCCACCTTAAGGCCTTCGACTGGGTGAAATCTGGTTATACTATACAGGCTGACAAAGACATTCACAGTTGACAATTAGATTAGTATTTTATCAAATATCTGTATACCATGTTCCAGGTTCCAATCATATTGTCAGTCACCATTGAGATATAAAAATAACCATCAAAAAAACCACACACACACACACAAAATAACCATCAATGCCACTGTCCAGAATGTAGGAATCAAGATTTCTGCCTGTAGCTGGTGGTGGTGGTGTACACCTTTAATCCCAGCACTTGGGAGACAGAGTCAGGTGGATCTCTGTAAGTTAGAGGCCAGTCTGGTCTACAGAACAAGTCTCAGGACAGCCAGTGCTACACAGAGAAACCCTGTCTTGAAAAACAAACAAATGAAAACAAAACAAAGATTCCTGCTCTCACCTACTAGGTCCAGCACTTATTCTTTTCCTCCAAGTGTGATCGGCTTCTAGATCATGAGGTGTATGGGTCCCCAGCCTGGGTGTTGTGTGCTGAGCTCGCTGAAGTGCTGGTCTGGGCGTGTGTGTAGTCTCTGCTTGGGTAGGCTGCTCTGCTGTTTCACCTTACTACTTAACTTTGTTCCGAGAAAAAGACATGAAAGGGGGAGGGCATCCTCTTTCTGGATCGCCTGAACCGTGTGCTGTCTGTCTAGTGGGAACCAGGGTAGGGACCTCCTGGGTCAGACATCAGACCTTTCAGCTCAACACTGCTTAGCATGCTGTTTGAGCAGACATGCTTGCTATGGGTGTTGGTGAGTGTAGAGTAGTCATGCCCTTTCCTCCTCCTGAGAACCCTTCTCTTCCCTTGGTAAAGAGATACCACTGGGGAGGGAACCTGGAGAAATCATGATCCTTGAGAAAGGGCAAGGCAGCCTGAGGGCTGTGGCTTGAATCTCTGCGCTGGTTACCTTTAATGACTGTGTTCTTGCTGGCAGTTATTTCAAAGTTTCTGATGTTAATTTGGGGGCTGAAGATAATGACAGTGACTTTCTGGACTTGCGTGCACGGAACAAGCGGTGGGACATGTCAAATAGCAGACAATTTTCATTATAAATAGGGTTGGTGATGTTTTGAAGATCCAAGTTGAGGGCCAAGACAAATTAGCAGACACCTGTCAATTAGTTTGTAAAAGGTGAGCGATTATGGTGATAATTGTATAGTGAACCTCTCTGAAAGCTATGCAGCCATTATCCTGATAAAATAGTAAAGTGGTTCTAGTGCCTGCCTGAAGTGTTGAAGTCCTAGCAGCTACCATGGATCAGAGAATATACACAGACAGACAGACAGACAGACAGACAGACAGACACACACACACACACACACACACACACACAGAGAGAGAGAGAGAGAGAGAGAGAGAGAGAGAGAGAGAGAAAGGGGTGATATTATATTGTAATCGCCCATGCTGATTGTGAATCTGGGTTCAACTGATCTTTTGTCTTAGCCTCCAAGTGGCACATCCACTTAAAGGGTTGACATATGTGTGTATCCTGCTTTATTGTTAAACCTTTTGTTATTACTTTGTGTATAGGTGTGGGGTGTGTATGCCATGGCATGTGTGGAGGTCAGAGCACAGT